CCTGATGAGTAAGCATTCAAATAATATATGAGTCTATGGGGCCATTCTTACTCAAACCACCATACCTCAAAGGACTCAGAGTTGTTACAGGTTTTCTGGCTGCTCAGCCTGCATGGTTAGGGGCTACTGGGAAGCAGTGTAGCTGCCTCCTTGCAGGCAGACACCTGCTGTCCTACTATCCTTGCAGGCAAACATCTGCTGCCCTACTATCACACAGCAACTCCCACAAAAATCACAATCCATTTTAGGAGAAAAAAGAATGAGATTAGCATTTCCTTGGCCTCACAATATACAAAAACAACCAACCAACCCCTAAGACTGTCTCCTCTCCCCTCCCAAAAGAATATGAGCTTGGCACCTCTCCCTTCCTTCTATGTCAAACTCCTTTGTTTTGGGTCACCTGTTCACCTCTGCATTCGGTCCCTCAAGGAGTGCTTAACCTTTACATTAGTCCCTTAAGAAGTGTTCCCCATCCCAGGATAAAGGCACAGAAAATAGCCACTGCCACTAAAGAAAGAAACTGAAGAAAATATGAAAAGATTGAAAAACATCCCATGCTCCTGGGCTGGAATAATTAATTGGATGGAAATGGCCATTTTGCCAAAAGCAATCTACAGATTCAGCACTCAAAACTCCCTAACTATTCTGCCTCTTCATGGAAATAGAAAAAAAAAATGAAAATTTAAATGGTAACACACACCACATATACACACATATATACCACAAACCACACACATATACTACATACTCATACACACACCACACACTACACACACTCATATACCACACACACACACACACACACTCTCATACAAAACACATACTCATGCACCATGCATACACCAAACAGACTCATATACCACATACACTCACACCACACACACTCACATACCACACACACATTCACACACTACATACACTCATACACACATACCACACTCAGATTACATACTTACACACCACACACATATAAACACACACACACACACCACACATGCACACACATAAAATAGGCTAGCAAAAGCAATGTGAACAAAAAGAATATGGTAAGAGGTATCATCACACCTGATTTCAAGTTATACCACAGAACCATGGTCTTAAAACAGCATGGTATTAGCACAGATCAATGGAATGGAACTGAAAACCCAGGCAGTAGTCCACACTTATACATCCACCTGATTTTTAACAAACATGCCAAAAATTACACATTAGAGAAAAAGACAGCATCTTCAACAAATGGCAGTGGCTATTTTCTGGGAAATTTGTATTTAACATGAAGAAAACTGAAACTGGACCCTCACCTTTCACCCTGCCCAAAACTCAACTCCAAATAATCAAGGACCTCAACATAAGACCTGACGTTATGAAACTGTCATGCTGAATAAACCGTCTTGTGTCTACTATGGTCTCCTGGGATGTGCAAGAGCTAGGCTTGGCTTCTAGTTATAACAACCTCCAGTCAGAAGAACATCCATCATACTTCACCCTCAAGCCTCCAGCCTGCCAAAGCCCTGCAGCCATCTGTCCGCCATCATCCAGGCAATGCCCATTTGCTTGCCGCCTCTGCCTGCAGCACTCTCTGTCTCCTACACTGAGACCTTTGCAGTGTAACCAGTCCCAGGTACAAACTGCAGGGTGCTGACTGCTTCTCGGTGGGTGCCAAATTATCAACAATGAGCACCCTCTGTATCTAAGGTGGATGTGTGGAACAAAACGCTTCTGGTCAACCATTTTCCCTACAAGTAGTTACACTGTATTTCACAGAGGTCTGGTGAGATACCCCACAGACACTGGGATGCTGGCCTTAAGTGCAAAAGTTTAAAAGGTAAATCAAAAGCTCAGTAACCACATTAGTAACCACTTAAAACAATTCTTTCAAATTAGATTAAATGCAAACAAATTGTAGGGAATTAATATTTTTAAATTTTGAAAAGAAGAACTAATGACTACAGGCAGAGCCCATAGACTGAGCAGGAGCCCCACTCTGTCCCCAGTTTTCAGACTACCTCCTGATGGTAACTGCAAGCAAGGCTGGGTGGGGCTCAAAGAAAGTTCAGCAAGACAGGCCCTTGGGCCCTCTGGTCAGGTTTGTAAAGCAAGTTGGTTCTGATCTATCTAAAAGGGCATCAGAAGCTGGAGGAGACAACATTTAAAGATATCCTTGGTGCCCTTGTGATGGATATGTACTCTCTGTGCCTGCAGATATCAGCAGGCTTCTCCAGACCCTGTTTTGCATGGCTGCTCTGCCCATCTGGGTCCCCGCAACACTCATCCATCCAGTTCTGGTCTGAAGCACCTCTCAGCTCTCCTGACTGTTTAGCACAGGGTCATATATTCTCAAACTGGGCTTGAGTAGATACTGGTCAACAAACAGTAAGTTTATCTCCTGTCAAGTACAAGAGGCCTTTACCAGGGCCTTTCAGAGATGTGTTTATTTGCAGATGGAGTACAGAACTCATGGTTTTATGGCCTTCTCTTTAGTGTTTTTTTTTTTTTCTGTAATATTCAGTACTGGTCCCACTGGGTGAGGTCCTTGCTATTGGTCACTTCTGTAGATGGCTTCTGAGTCACTTCTAAGTCACCTGTCTGAGTGATGGGTAAGAACTTACAGAATGAGTGTAGGTTCCAGGGCCTCAACTCCATCCCCTCTGGCAACATCAGGATGTCTTTCCCACTTGGACAAGAGGAAGATGAAGAAGCCCCGAGGAGGGGGGCTCCCAGGGGCTTCAGTGCCTGCATGTAGGGTGATGTCATTCCTTGAAATCTGCCCCACCAGGCATGGTGGGAAAAATAACACTGAACACCTAGCTGTGAGGCCTGGCTCACAGCTGATCTTGCTTTCCTCTTCAATCAGCTTTGTCTGTGCCAACACCAGAATGATTTATTTCCCATGTAGTCAGTTCTTTCTTCCCTGGGGAGGCTCCACACTAGGAACAAGCCAACACACAGCCATCTTGACTACAGCCATACCATTTGGGTTTCTAGTGTTTCTAGTACACCCTCTAGGGTGGCAGAAGCTGAAAGCACTCTGCTAAGGAGCCCTTGCTCAAAGCTGGCTTACCAGGTCACATCTGCAGGATGGGCTTGAAAGCACATGTAAAAGCAGAAGGAAATAAAGGAGGCAACAAGCTTCTGACGTTTCTCCATGCCCTCTGACAGGCAACACCAGTCTCCTCGCATCACGTACATGGTAAGTAGGTGAGACACAGGCAAAAGCCATACAGAACTTATACTGAAAACAAAAACACCCCATCAGAGGCAAGTCCAATGAAGGTCCTTTTACTTTTTTATGATTTAAAAATAAAATGTAATTCATCTTCCCTCCAAGTACTATCCAAGGCCTGACTCTGCTTAGCTTCTGCAATCAGATACGACCAGGTATATTCAGAGTGGTAAAATAAATTAAAATATAAAAATGAATTAATTGAAAAGAAAAGGTACCTACAATTATTTTTAATCATTAGTTTTGTGCAAATTAATCTTTGAACTTCATTTCTGTGTTAAAAACACACTGGATTGGGCTGGAGAGATAGCTCAGCTGTTAAGTACTTTGACTACTCTTCCTGAGGTTCAATTCCCAGCAACCACATGGTGGCTTATAATCATCTGTAATGAGATCTGACTGATTCTCTCTTCTGGTGTATCTGAAGACAGCTACAGTGTGTGTGTGTGTGTGTGTGTGTGTGTGTGTGTGTGTGTGTTCTTTAAACACACACACACATACACACACTGGCTTCCGGTTATATCAACGTATGCCTGTCATTCTATCCCTCTAGGCAGGGGCAGGAAGATCTCCAGTTCAAGATCTTCTCAAGCCAGGGCATTTTAGAGAGGGCTTTCCTCAAAACAAAAACCAAGCAGCATCTATGTCCAGTGAAATTTTTAAAGGGAGACACTTCACTGCCCTGTGTCGCACTGGGTACCATTCTGATCAGAGTTCATGCCACTTAAAGCTTTTTTGTTCCTGAACACTGTGGTTTACTTCTGCTTTCTTCCCCAGACAACTCTCACAGTCAGAAGTGAAGGAAGAACCTTCCTGTGCTCAGTGGGGACAGCTTCAAGAAACACCTACTGAGCTCATAAATGGATTTTGACAGCAACCATTTCCTTTTAAGATAACACACTCCCTCCTGGCATGATCATTATGAAATAAAACAGATATTGAGAAATAAGTAGAAAGTACCTTGACTCAGTGAGATAGCATCAGGAAACTAGGAAGCAAGCTTCCAGCAGGTGCCGTATCTGCACCTACCTGGACCTTAGCCTGGCCTCCACATGGTGGCCATGCATGTCTGTCCTTATGCTCAGATGCTACTCTGCTGTCCCCTGACCATTTTTCCCAACTGTAATTTGCTCTTTGGCTCTTTCTAGGGCTCTCCCTGGATGATGTTCTTCCAACCCCTTCACCCTAAGCTGTGTCCATGCAGTCCTGTCTTCCGACAGAAAGTGGGTCCATATGCACATGTGGTATGGAAAGCTGAGGTGAATGCCTAGAATCATCTGCCTTGACCACTCTTGTGTTTTATTTGTTGTGGTAGACACACTCAATCAAACTCTGAAGCTAGAAATGTGACGAGTCTCCATAGCCAGCTTACTCTTGAGATCCCCTGACTCTGCTTCCCCAAGCTTGAACTACAGGAACGTGCCACACCCAACCAGCATCAACTTGACTACTTTGGATCCAAATGAGCCATCTCTCTACACCTCTTGCCTCACCCCATTTCTTTAATGCCTGTTCAGTCACTTCTGCCTCCCAGGGTAAGACTCCAGGAAAATAGTCCATAAGAAAGCGGAGACAAGTCTGAAAAGGATAGTTCACTGAGGCTGTAGGTAGTCATGGCTGTGCAGCCTGAATCCAGAATGATCACATGACCAGTGGCATGTGCCTCAGGATGCTGTAGGATGCATAAGTGAACATCTGCAGAGTTCCTCTTCCTCTCCCATTCCCCTCCTCTGCATCCAGCTTGGTCCAGCTCCTGGAGCCTAGCTGCAGTACTCACCTTTGAGAAGAGGTCTCTCTCCAACGCTTCGGATCTTGTAGAGAGTGTTGGACAGGGGCACGTCAGGAATGAGCTCCGCAAGCAGGTACCCAGAATACCAGGCGCACAGGGAGGAGAAAATAAACAGTAGTGTCTTGAAGATGCCTGGAGAAAGATGACAAGGAGTTCCTAGAGATGACAAAGTTCACTATGGACTCTCGGGAATCCCCTGTACAGCTCACTACCCTACCCATTTCTGGGACCCAGACTCCTGGGAAGCAGATTTTGGTGGGAAGAAGCAGGCACATGAGAGCCCCATGGCCTCTGCAGTGGAAGGCAGACAATGCAAACGGACAACAAGCAGTGTTTTCTAGAGCAGGCAGCTATACTGATGTTGCCCTGCAACTCAGGGCTTCCTCAAAGATTCAGGGTGTGGGTCTGAGGCGCTGTCATTACTGAGAACAAAGCCTTTGCAAGACAAGCTCAGCCTTGAGCTTGCTCCTGGGGTGGGCACAGAATCTCCAGAGGGTAATCTTAGTCTGTTATGTTGTTTGTTTTCAATTATGGCATTTCCCTGTTAAAAATGACATCAAGGGACCCTGAGCATGTGCGATGGATGGCAGCTGAGCCTCATGCTGGAAGTCCCCTAAGTGGGATGTGCAGAGACACCCACAGATCCTGATGGCATATGGTCCCCACAGACCTTTCCATGGTGGCTTGCTATCAAAAATCACCTAGCCACAAAGAACCACAGATAGGTGCTTGTAATTCCTTAGGAAGACATTTCCCTCCTCCTCAGTGCCTGCATCAGCCGTAAGAGAGAAAAAGAGACAGGGAGGATGGAAGCAGAAACAGAGAGGAAAGATAGAGCTGGGCAGGGAAGGGGCTGTGGAAGCTAGAGGAGTCACAGGAGAACACAATCTACGGCTTGTCAGTCACAACTACCTCAGGCTTGTCAGAGTGTTTTCTTCCTGCCCAAAGTCCCAAAGAAAGCTCTCTCCACTGTGTGCTCCACGGGTAAGGACAGTGGCCAGGACAACTCTGAGGCCCATGAAGATGACGCATGTGACCTGAGTGAGAAATGTCTCACGTGTGTTATGTGTATTAACATGGGTCCCCAGGCAGTGCTGCTGTTTGGGAAGGCTTGCAAACTTCGGAAGAGTTTTGCTGGAGGAAGCATGTCACTGGGGGTGGGCTTTGGGAACATGCCTCCTTGTCATGTCCATTGAGGATTTTGGGGAAGGAAGTGCCACCATTAACCACCTTGTCAACACCCTAGCTGAGGGAGAAGTTACCTACAGGGATGGTATTGTGGCAGCTTCCTAGAGCCAGTGAGGAAAAATCAAAAGCTCGACAGATGAGTCAATGACAAAGTCTACTCTAAGAGCACTGCCAAACCCTTAGCTCACCAAGGTAACACAGCCTCGCCTCTTACAACCACACCTGCCGGAGAAGTACAACTGTGAAATTATCTAAAACCTTTGGATAAAGAGGCCACATAGCTCTTGTGTAAGTCACAATGGCTATACAGAAAACGGCTGCCAGTGAGAGAAAGCGACTAGTAACTTCCAGCTCTCTCTCTCTCTCTATGTAGTCAAGAAAACGATATTCTAATCATACCATACGGAAATAATGAAGCCATTCTTCCAAAAGCACTAGACTAAAGCCAGTGCCTCGCAGGAGGGGCATGCTTCATTCACATTCATCTGTCAGAGCCAGGGATGTGCTCTGAGAAATGTCATTGTGCAAAGATCAGAGCTCGGTCTCACAAAGGGGACTGTTCCGCAACAGTACGACATCACCCTGACCTTGTTCACAGAGATGCACATGTGCGCACGCATCTCCACCCACTTACCCTACAGGACACCCAAATCAGTGCTGCTGCTGCTGATACAGAGGCAGTAAAGAGACCTGAGAGGGAAGTCAAGGGCACTTCCCCTTTCTAGGCCTGCCGTGTTTGTACAGCACCTGCTGTGTTTGCCACACTGCTGCCACTGTGGTGGTGCTTGCCCTCAGACAAGTTGGCTTCTTCACAGTGTAAATGAGACAGGGAATGACAGAACTCTGTCCACAGAAGGCAGGCTCTGGGAGACTCAAGAGCTGACGGAAACTGAGCTTTCTCCCCCTTTACTGTCTTCCCAAGTCTCTTACCAATGTTAAGTACCCTGAGAGAAATAAAAACCCAAGAGAGGGAAGGGTGCTTGGGTGCTGTCAAGACCATCAGTAATCAGGGTTCCCACTTCTCACTTCCCCAAGTAAAACCCAAAGGGGCTGTCTTACTGTCCTTTTCATTTATCATAGATTCCTATGCTGGTCAGCTAACCCCAGCTAGCAGCCAACCCCTATCCAGCTGTCCTGGTTCTGGGGCCTCCCACTCAGGTAGGCTAGTCCCCAGGCACTATGCCACCTTGGTCACCCCTGCCCACACTCATCTGATGTCTACTTCATAGGTGAGAGACTGCATACAACCCTACCCCCACTGAGCAATAAGAGATGGAGGGAGGGGTAGCCCTCATGGAAATCTCAGCTCTCACCCCTCAGTCCTCCAGACTTTGGTTCCCACCAGGATTCTAGGTCTCACAAGATGTGGCCCTGGCCAGAACCTTCACCCTTCTGTCTCAGCTTGGCAGTTAGGGAGGAGAAGGGATGCTGCCACCTCCACCCATGCAGAAGCAAGTCTAGCTGTACTGGTGCTCACCTGCAACAACTGGACGCATCTTCCAGAAACTGCTCTCTTCCTACCCAGGTCTTGGCTGCAATTCCCAGGGACCCGTGAAAGCTGGCCTTCTCTGCCAGAGCTGCACGAAGAACAGGACTGCCCTTGGGGCAGGCAGACAAAGGGCGGACCAATTTCCAGCAAATGGGAGGACCCATAAACCAGGAAGGTTCAAGAAGCAGCTGGTAGGCTAACAGGTATGGGTGGGGCTGCACAGCTGATAGCACCCTGGAGCTCCAGGGTCACCTGAGAAGCAGGAACCACTTTTTGTCCTGTTCACCTGGGATTACAGATGACCAGAGGCCAGAGCTAATGAAATCAGAGAGAGCACACCAGAGTTTACAGCTAAGGGAAGACAGGTGCCCCTAAACCATACCATTCCTGACCTTAACTTCACAAGAAATGGCTGTAAAGTATAGATTGGCTCAAGCCTTGTGAACACAAAATCCTAGAATACAGCCCCTACTCCAAATGTTAAGGCTCTATATTGTGTCCAAAGTAGTCACACTGCCCCCTTGCTGGCATGTAACTGGGTGTGGTGCCTACCCCTTACCTTCTTTACTGATGGAGTGATTATTTTGGAGAAATGAGGTGAGTGAGAGCTCCAGGTCCCTTGGGACATGTATATACAAGGACATGGGGCTCAAAAATGGTGTCAAGTGGATGGATGAAGGCTTCTTAACAGGTTTCCCCACCCATCCACCTGAGTAGGCACAGTGCCCTCTCAATATCCAGAGTTCAGGTTTTCACAGAACTTTTACCTCATTATAGTCACAGTGGTCTCAAGTAACTAAGGGAAGCTGAGGCCCCAAGAGCAGATGGTCACCTCAGTCCAGCTGCTGTAGGAATTCTATTCCACCCCTATTCCTCCTCTTCCAAGGAGCCCAAAGAGTTGAGTCATATAACACAAGGTATGCTAGCACATGGGAACATGCCTCTAAATGTTCTGGAAAAGAAAGGAGAAGTATTAGCTAAGACATGATGATTAGTATTGAACACCAACTTGACAAGATCTAGATTCACCTAGGAGACAAATCTCTGGGCATGTGTTTGAGGGGTTTTCTAGATTAGCTAATCAATATAAGAGGGACCACCCTGTATATGGGTGGCATCATTCCATGATCTAGGGTCCTAAACTGAATGAAACAGAGAAAGTGTACTGAGCAACAGCATCTATCTCTCTCTTCTTATTCCTGACTACAAACACAACTGACCTCACATTCCTGCCACCAGGATTTTCCCACCATGATGGACTGTGAACTAGAATAAACCCTTCTCTAAGCTGCTCTTGTACAGTGGTATTTATGAGACATTCTGTGTTGTTTCATCCAAGGAGACAAAGGAAACAGACTGTTCTCATCTGCTCAAGCCCTCCCAAATCAGAGGGACCAGATGACAGGGACCTTTAGTCAGGCTTCCTCACGAGGACTCAAGTACTGTCCCAATGCTGAGAACACCACCTATACACTACAAAACACACACTCATTGCTCTGGAGCACCAAAGCTAGCCTCCACCTCAATTCAACAATGACTTGAAATGACAAACGTAAACTCTATCATTACCTCAATTTCATCTACCAAGAGTCTTACCTTCATCCTCCTCATTTGAATTCAGAGGTGGAGCTTTTATCTATGAGTTTGTTCTCATGTATTAAAATTATGATTCAAAAATATAAGACTTACATATGTTTTGGATATCTGCTAAGCCTTTTATTATTATGTGTATACGTGTGTGTGCCTGCATGAGTCTATGTGTATCACATATGTGTGGGAGATCAAGAAGGAGCATTGTAACCTCTGGAACTGATGGTTGTGGGTGCCGGGAACTGAACCATGTCATCTGTGAGAACAACCAGTGTCCTTACCCACTGAACTGTCTCTCCAGCACCATCCTGTCCAACAGCTAAGTTTGTATTACTGATCTCCAGAAATTGTCTTCTTTCAGAGCTAAGTCTATACCTATGAAAAACCATCTCTTGTGTTTCACAGAGTTCCTTCTCTCTTCTCTTTCCCCTCCTCTGTCTTCCCCTTCCTTCTCCCCTTCTTGTTTTCTACCACCAAGGGATATGTGATCCAAAGTTGACTCTCTCCTCCATTAAGTTGATTCCATCAGGTGTTTTGTCACAGTGGTGAACAGCTGAGAAGCACAGCACTTAGGCCTATCAATACCTGGGTAAGATTCCTTGTCCTCTAAGACTTTGAGACAACCAGACACTTGGCTGAGTTAGAGGCGGCTTCAATTATTCTCAGCTGACCAGCTATGAGGAAAACAAAAGGTTCTCCATACCCTTGGATTTGTATTCCCGAACGATGCAGCATGGTGGAAGGGCTGACTCTATGGAACTCTTCTAAACCTGGAGGAGGGTACATTCATTTCTGGGATCAGAGAAGCAGACATAGCCCAGAGAATCCCAGTAAGAGACAGACATATTTGTCTAGTTCTAACCAGTGTGGGTCAAATGCCTCTTAACACCAGACACTGTTTCAACCCTAGAGACATAATGTGTGGTTGTTTAAGAGAAATGTGTCATCCTTCTGGTCTGGGCCCAAGCACTAAGAAGATCCCGGGTGGCAGCTCTGCACCCAATCTCACAAAACCCAGAGGAAGCAGGCCTCCCAGGAGCTCTAACCTGGGCAGTATCTTAGAATACACAGCCTTGGTGTATCTACTCATCAAGCAGGCTGAGCAGACCTGCTCGAACCTCTGATGTCCTGGAATTTCAGCTGGATGCAGTGAAGACACAGACATCAGAGGCTTATCAATTTACTCTTCCCCCACTCCTCTTCTAATATCTCAATGCCCATAATCAGCTTGAAGAAGTTAATGAAAAGTCAGCACCCCTATTCCCTGGGCTTGGGGACTGAGGTGGTTAATATTGGGCTGTCTTTCTAGGGAAAAGTAGTAGCTTCGTTGGAACAGGGAGGAATAGCTAGAATTTATTGTATAGCCATAACCTATTGGTAGAAATCTGTACAATTGTTATTAAGCTGAAGTTATAATTTCTTAAATGGTACAAAATTTACTTTGATTTCAAATTTAAGGTTTTCATTGGTACAAGTTTCTTCTTGATATAAAAGTGAGATTAATATTGTTACTCTCATAGGCATTGTGCCTATATAACACGTTTAGGGATACAAGGCTTAGACCCAGTCCTTCTTTAACTTTTTTAACTGATTTGATATGGTTAGCCTGTGAGTTAAGGGCCTATAGCAAATTCATGGCTCTGAGTTTATTGTTAGGGTGTTTTCTATATTTTATTTAGAAATAGATGAGAGGAGTTAACAGACAACAGTCGAGATTGCCTTACATGCATAGTTGGTTTTCAAAATGTCGGAAGTCCACAGAATTGACATTACAAACATTTCTATATTAATGTTCATTCTGATTAGAGACCTGTCTTCTCCTGACAGCTTCCCTGTCTTGGATTCTAAGAAGAAATTGAGCATCTTTGGAGTTATTCCAGTTGTGGTGAGATAGCCACTAGGCAAGGATTGCCTCTTTTCATCTACAGACAAATTACTGTCCAGAAAAGGACACACTTGTGGAATAGTCGACTGATTATAATCTGCCAAGACAGAGTAATCAGCCCTTAATAATTCTGCATCACTAGGTCTGTCAGATGATACTGGGCCAGAAGGCTGAAGATCGGATGCTCCAACGTTTTGTAGTATAGGGACTACAAAACTGCTGTCCAGGTGTTCAGCAGTCTCTATAAATTGGCTAAGTTTTAGAAGCTATGCTTTGTGCTTCCCATAATTTCAGTTAATCCAGTCATTCTGGATTTCTGATGGGGTTGAAGACTTATAGTCTCATAGCCAATCCCAGCTATTTATTTTGAGACAAAGGACTTGAGAGGATGGTTTTCAGCTGACATTCATTCTAAAGCCAAGAAAAAAGCCAGGTTCAGAACTAAGTCTTTTAGTTAGGAGAGATGACAGAGGTTCTGGTTAGTCAACAAAATGATGGACTGGGTATTAGATCTATCTTGTACCTTACTGATACAAATTGATATACTTATGCTCTAATTGTATTTTGAGAGAAAAGTTTTTTTATTTTAACAGGAAGGGTGATATGTAGGAGGAGCTAAGGTGGGAGGAGTAAGGAGAGGAAGAGGAGGAGAGGAGGAGCTAGGAGACGAGAGAGAGAGAGAGAGAGAGAGAGAGAGAGAGAGAGAGAGAGAGAGAGAGAGA